GTCTCTACGTTATACTTCAATATTTATATTAAGAATATATTTAGAACATTTTATTTTTCTCTTTTGGGCTTTTGTTTGTATTTAAATCTATGTTATGTTGTATTTTATCTGGACCCTGAGTCTGAGCCCTATTTTCTTTTTAAATCAGTCAATATCTAACCAAGCAGCTGCCATTTTCTCAAAATGATACAAATAGCAATTATAAAAATGTGCTGTCTGTGGAAAAGTAAGAAAGTGGGAAATGTGTTGAGTCAAAACATTTCTTATTCACTTAATACTCTGGATATTTGCAGATAGAGAGATGATAGAGATGATGAGGTGTAGAGGTTAACACTACACACGGGTAAACTCTACATTCATGCAAGTCACACAGCTGCTTCCAGAAGTGCCATAAAGTTTTTCAGGACACTAGATATTGTGTTTTTTCAGTTGCTGAAAATGTAACAGTGCATTTGTTTTCAGTGTATTTACATTAATATTAGACGTGTATTTTTATTTTGAAAATTCACCATTTTTGGAGCTAGAAATAAAGCTTTCTTGTTTGTTTACTGTCAGAGTAAAGAACATTTAGATCTTCATGTGATTTAGAGTGAAGTCATTGAAAACAATGTAATGGAAATATATGGTTTTCGAAAAAAATCCTACTGGGACATTTTTTAATATCTCTGGTTTAGAGTCAAAATGTTTTGGACTATTGGTCAACTTTTTTCTTAAGCAGCTCACTATAACTGTAAAGTTGGCTTCAGAGACCAAATAAGACTGATTATATTTAAATTAAATGATATATAAATGATTGTTATCCTAATAGACATGGTTAAGATGTTTTACAATGTAATTTAATAGACATGGTTAAGATGTTTTACAAAATCATTTAAAACATTCATTATCCCAGTCAACAAAAACCACATTCACATGTACTCTATATGAAACGTCTTTTATTAGACAATAGAAAATGACTCTTAAATGCTTGACAAGAGCTTCTCACTTAAACTGTTCATTCAGATAATTCAAACTCAGAACGACACCTTAAACACAAGCACCAAACCCTGAAGCACATGTTTTTTTCCCCTTCTTCAGATTTGGAGTGCAGTTATTTTAGTTTCACAATTACATGTTCTTGACAGGAAGTGAGACAAATTTCCTTTTTACAACAGCAGCTGAATGTCAAACAAATCAAATATAAAACAGTTGCTCATTAATCAAAACACAAAAGGCTAAAATAATTAACTCAAGGATACTAATTGCAACACAGTTTGTTTTATAACAGTTCATTATCTGAGGTTAAAGCTCAGAGTAGAGATCAAGTAGAGACAGATCAAAACCCAGAGAGTGCTTCAGCACGATGGGATTAGATCTGCAGGGAGCCTCAGTGGTGGTTTTGAACTCTGCTTAATGAAATCCAGCACCAGACGATTCCCAGTTAAACACTAAGCCTGGCCAACACTGGACTTTGTCGGGAGGTCACTGGTCTTGGGTCGTTTGGACTCTGGAGGCTGGCACACTGGATCAGTGGGAGGAGACGGACGTTCTGGAGAAAGACAAGTGAAGAGATCCGTAACTGAAGGGTTCAAAAAAGTCAATATGCAGCGTGAAATACATTTGAGGAAAATGTTCAAGATAGGTGTATGGCATTCTTAATGTTTTATGGTGAAGTTGTTTCTTATAAATTAATTTTACAGATTCATTTACATATTATGTTTATACATAGTTATACTGTGTATTACTACATCTGCCAAAGAGATGTTTTTACTCCTGTCTGTTTGTCAGCAGGATTTTGCCAAAACTGCTGAATTGATTTCCAGAAAACGTTTGCATGGATACAGACAAAGGGGTGGATCCGAGAATTCTTTTTCACCTTTCTCTTACATGCAAGTATATTGGGTGTTTTTTTTACCTTCACTGATTATCAGAGAATAATTCATCTGATATCTATGMGTGTGTGCACTTTGGTGTGACTTTTGATTAAATATAAGCAGCCTCCTAGGGCTTAGCAAAGTTTTGCACTCTGGTGCAGTTTGATCATTCTTCATACTGCTGACTGGTTAATTAACATAAGCCGTCATACGATTATACAGGCTTCAAACAAATCCACTTGAAAAACAACGTATTTAAAATAAAAAACAAAAGCTGTATGTTCAGATTTATCCTTAACCAACCCATGAGGAGTTAGACTGGTGTGCTTACAAATCTGACTGCCTGTTTCTAGCTCTATCAGATAGCATTGTTGTGATGTGGCTGTGTTCCCAGATCCCAGCAGTTACACTTATGATGAGTGGAAGTTGATTATAGCCAATAAAATTAATGGCAAAAACAAAAAGAAAGTCCCCAAATGTAAACGGTAATATTGTTACCTCTAGCATTTGTTTGTTTGCCTGTGGGAATACTAAAACTACTGAATCCATTTCCATGGAACCTTTTTGGAGGGTTGGAGCATACAGAGGCTTAAAACCTCCTGCAGCGGCCACTGGTTCAGTTCCAACCCAACTCTTTGCTGCGTGTCTTCCCCCATTCCCTCTCCCCGTGTCAAGCCTACTACCCTGTCAACAAACGCAAAAAGCCTTGGGAAACAATTGGAGATGACTCCGATAAGCATGCGTGTCTAGGACGTTTTTCACTTTGGTTAACATGACGAGATGGGCTGTTACTCTTGCGGAGGTATCTGCTCTCTGAGCACCCTTCTAGTTTATATTATTTTTAGCTCTCGCTTTTGTGCTAAGCTTAAGATAGTCTATCTACAGCAGATGTCAAGGATTGGATTTCTTGACATATTCATGTCAAAGCAGAGCAGTTCTGACGCACGCTGATCACCAGTATTTGATCAAATTGGTTGAGATATGTCTCGACTAATGAACAGGTAATACAGTTCAGTTTGTCAATGTCATTTAAACATTTTTTGATAGTATCTACCATTAGTTATGACTTATGCCACAGGAATCCCCAACCTCGTGTTACCTGACATAATAAACCTAATGACTTCCATACATTGCTCTATGCAGGACTGGTATCCGAGTGGTACCCTGTACTGTCAGGTAAAACAATACCAGGAGGGATAAAGTTGAAATGGTGCATTACATCACTAATCAGAACAGATAGCAGACTGTGAGATTTAGACGGTCAATGAGGATGGAGAATATTTCCATCTGCAACATATGTGCTTTTAAATCATCAAACTTTCTTGTGATAAACGTTAATAAAGGACAACACAGACGTTGCCCTCACTAACCATGTTTGGCCTTCTCTGTGGAGGAGGGAGTTCTGAAGAGGGAGCTGACAGCTGGAGATCTGGATGCAATGGGAGTCAAAGATACTCTCCTGAAAACACACAGTAAAAGCCCAGAAGGTAAACGAAAAACATGCAAATAAAATGTCCTCCGCCCACTCTTCCACTGCATTCCTCCTCTGTCGTTCTTCTTCTTTGCCTAGTAGTAAAAATAGTCAGGAGTAGTCACAGCCAACGTTCCAAGTTAGAGATACAAGGCAAATATAAAAGCATGTGCAGATCTGCCATTGTTCCATGAGCAGTCTGGCAGAGTGATTATTATTTTATTGTCAGTGGGGGGTCCAACGAATCCCTCATACCAGACAGGGCTTTGTTCTCACAGCCAGTACTGGGCACATACAAACCAACAAAAACATCACTAGCCCCTTGCTGCAAACTACAACTCTACTATTGCTTTAGCAGAATACTGTCATACAGATAGAGGACAGATAATATCATAGAGGATATTTTAATCATTTTAAAGAGAACTTTCCTGCTGCCATCTCTGCAAACAGCATCTTTAGAGATAATCACCATAGGAACTTGAATCACTAGGGGGCAGGGAGGTGGATGGAGGATGCCTTGTAGTTATTCCCTCAGTCTGACTACAGTCAAATCACATTTGTGAAGTTTGAGCCTTTCCATAAATTGCCATACATACACACGTGTGTGAGGCAAATTTGTACAAGAACTGATTCATTCATAATCCAATAATTATGAGTCCAAGCTGTAAAAACACACATAAACAATCAAAGTATACCAGTGTTCATAAGAAGGCTCAGTGGTATAAGGATCTAATATTTACCTTGGGGTGGGCCCCTTTGGGGTGGTTGTACCCTTCGGAGTAGTGGGTCCAGCAGTATTAGAACTGTTGAGGACTTTTGGGGTGGAGGGGGTGAGGGGAGTGAGACGTAATTGCGTTTTGGAGGAGCTGGTGGGGGTGAGGGGGGCAATGAGTGGTTGGGGAGTGGACGGAGCACTTGTGCTTGCTGATGTTGGGGTCTGAGGTGCTGAAGGAGCTGTGGTTTTAGGACTACTGGGCTTCCCCCAACCCTCCAGAGTGTTGAGGGTGATCCTGCGTGGCTGAGGTTTAGACTTGGTACTGGGGGTGCTCTTCTTCTCCTCTGGGGGGGTGATAGAGGGGGCATCTTTTCCATGGGTGGTTTGGGAAGAGGGAGTCGGGGCTGCGCTGCTCACGGGAGACGATGTCCTGCCCGCTGACGACTTCTTGCTCTTTTTCTCGACACCAGTGCTTGGGACAAAGACCTCTAATGTGGGGGGCTCCTTCAGTGGAGTGCCCAGCTCCCCAGGAGAAAAGGACAGGAAGGAGCAGTAGCCATCTGTGGAGGACACCGCCAGGAAGGAACCATCCCGGGACCTAAAGGGGATAAAAAAGAAACACATAAATGGGATGGAGGACACATGAAGAAGATAAACTGGAGTGAAAACATACCACATTTTTACCATTGATAATTCAAAAATATGTCGATGCAAGAACACACAACAAAAGACAACACAGGAAAATGTTGACTTACCATGTAAGATCACTGAGTGTGTGGTAGTGGATGTTAGACACCAGGCCGAAAGGAAGGGTCTGTTGGGTGTCATACAAGAAGATGGAGTCCTCTGACGCCACAGCAAACACCATACGGTAAGGCAACTGGAATGTGTTGGGAAGAGGCTGCTCTGAACCATCTATGTGAAAAAGAGAAAATATAAAGGAAAAGATGAGATAAAGAGAACAGACAATTACAAAGACTTTATTAACAGTTGTGTCTGTTGACCAATGTGTATGTCCTTGCCTTCTCCCTTCTTAGTTCTCAGTTCAAAGTAGACAGGGCAGCAGCGCACAGCCAGCGTAGCCTTGGTTGGACATGGCAAGTGGGCGATGGGCCTAAAACAGACAGAGATTTATTAATTACCTGTATTATTCAAATATTATATTATTAATCCACCGACTCTAAACAGCACAGAAGAGTTACCTCTTGAGGCTCTTCCTGGAAAAGATGTAGGTGGTATTCATGATGTTTTCCCCAATCTCCACACAGCCAGCTTAAAAAAGGTGAAAACCAAAGAAGGAACTTGGTTTAAACAAATTATTTTCACAACACTAAGAGTCACATGACAAAAGTAAGGTAAAAGCCACAGTTTGAGAATTCTGCATCTGTACCTGGAGCGAGCAGGAAAGAACCATCTGGTGTGAATGAAAGACGTCGAAAGAATGACCTCATGCTGTCGTCGTGGAAGATTCTGTGCGGCTTCACCTGCGGAGATGCAGAGAAGTGAAGGACTGAGAACATGCTCAAACCATGATTCACTAATTTGGCAGGAGAACAGAAAGTCTCTGAAGATTTAGGGAGTTATATCTCTCTGGAAGTGTTGTAAAAAAGTGGCCATGACAGAAGTTAAATGGAGAGTTGAGCTCATGGAGAAAATAAAAACAATGTAGAAAGAAGGTTTGGTTTTCATTTTACAGTCCGCTGAGGGATTTACAAGCTTACAAGTCCTGTATTCCTGATTTTACCGTAGCACCGTGGTGCGACTAATAGCAGTGTCAACAGTTCTAAATTTAAACTGACCTCTCCCTCTGCAAGTGGTCCAGAGCTCATTTTACTGATACAGAAAGCCTTCTTCTTGGTGTGTGCGCTGTACACACGCATCACCCTGAAGGAAGAAAAAACACAAACAACTTGAGCATCAAGAGATGAAAACCTCAAGGTCAGTGACTATAAATTACAGCAAATTACAATGATTTAATGAGCGTCATACCTGTCACAGCTGAGAGTGGCAACATATTGTCCTAGAGGATCCCAGGTCACACCCTGCACGTAGCTCTTATGGTCGTTCAAGATACACAGCTTCTGTCCTATAGCATAAAAATAGTTGCACCCAACATTGTAAATACAAAGCCAAAATCAGCTTTATCCTCACATTGTACAGTAAGTTATGCACTTCAGTACTCAACCTAACAGATGAAACAATACAGAACACACACTCAGTTTCTCTGACTACGGACAGACCTTTGTTGATGTCCCACATTATAGCAGTGTTGTCGACAGATCCAGACACCATGAAGTTTCCATCCCGTGTCCAGGAGATGTCGTACACATCCTCTATGTGTCCCCTGAAATACACATTAAATGATAAGAACCTGAACTTGAACTTTGCTGTGACATCTACATCTGCTGCTTTAAATGTGTGCAAGTGAAAAACAAAAGCAGATAAGTACTTCCATATAGACTTAAAACTTAAAAGTTTGAACTGTCAAGACATCGAGAAGTGTCTGTCATTTATGACTGTCGGTTTTTCAGAAAATGTGGGTGAAGAATTGTAATATGTTCCAGTGGCTTCTAATATTACAGGGCAGGGTTTTATAATTTGGAAATATTTTCCATGCTGGGAGGACGTTTAATATGTCTGGAAAACTGGAAGGTTCACTGTAGTACGAGGTAAAAACATCATTTAAACATTTGAACTTGGTGGGATCTAAACTGTGTACCTCAGAGTCTTGACCACAGACCAGCTCTCCTTGTTGAGCTGAGCATCTTCATCCTCCTGGAACGCAGGTGCCTGATCAGGCTCCTTAGAGTCATTTAGCTTCCACAGGAGAATTGCTGCATCTGTACAATACAAACACCATTTGATTATTAAAGGCCAAATGTGCTTTCTGTTTTGAAAACAACAGCACAAGACTGTGAAGTGGTGACCTTTAGAATCTTTACATACCATCTCCTCCTGAGGCAAGCAGCTCTCCGTTAGGGCTAAAGCGCACCACGTTGACAGCCTTGGTGTGCCGAGCAAGATTGGACAGTAACTCCACAGCTGCTTTCCCATCTGAGCCCGTGTCCACTCGCCACAGCTGCATCAACATCAATGTAGAAAGTATGTTTCAAATGGTATTTTTAAGAAAATGCTGCAGATACCTTCACTTTAAGGTGAGTTTTGCAACACAGATATTTATTCATTCTTTTTCGAGAGGGACCAAGTTTGCAGACAGGGTCCATCCCCCCAGTATCTATACTGCTTATCCTGGAGTCAATCCCAGCCGACATTGGGTGAGAGGCGAGGTGCACCCTGTTACTGCTTTCATTAATAACATCTTCACTTCCATAACTATGACTCGCATTGTTTTCATTATAACAACTAGTCTGTCGGAGCTGAAACATGATGGTACTCAACTGTTCCTGGTCTCTCTCTCACTCTCTCTCCTCCACTTTCCTCTGCTCACCTCAGTGGGTCGGGGCAGATGGTCTGAGTCTGGTTCTCTTACAGGTTTTTCTCTCCACAGTCGCCACAGAGCGTGCTCATGTGGGAATAGTTGGGTTCATGGCTGGGATCATTTTATGTAAAGCACCTTCAGATCACTTTTATTATGATCTGGCGCTTTACAAATAAAATTGAACTGATTTTACATGTTTACCGCCCAACTTCTTTAGTCCTGCAAACACTGGTCAGATGCATGCCCACGAGTCATTGAGCTTTCTCTTGTGTGCTGCATTGCTCCTTCCCCACACAGATGCATGTTCATTATCACACTCGTGATCGTCACAGTGATTCTGTATGTGTATTCATCCTCCACTCACTCTGACGGTGGTGTCCACTCCGGCTGTTGCCAGTCGTCGAACTCGTCCCTCTGCGCTGTGCTGGAAGTCCACACTGTAAACCGGCTCCTTGTTGTGCCACGCGATCTCACACGTTACCACCTTCATTTCCGTTTTTTATCCAACACCGACCTCAGGGGGGGTAAAACACAAAAACACGTCAATTTACTGCTTCACGCTGTTTTAAATCCCCTGATGATGACTCTGCAGCTACAAGTCAGTTGTTTTTTTGTCAGATACAGACGCTGTATCACGGACACAAGGTGATAATGGGTTGGTTTAAAAAGCTAAACTAGCTACACAGCCGCTGGAGACGAACGCTACCACGAGCTAACACGGTTAGCATCAAACTTAGCGGGATTGAGCGAGTCTGATGAACGGTACGTGGCTAACGTGACGCCCGGTGGATAACACGTGAACGTGCGTGAGCTGTTAGCTGAAGTGTGTTAGCTCCGAATACACTCGAGCTGTGTGTGTTTCTTCTTCAAACCGAAGTTTCCTCACAGTTCACGAGTCTCCGGGTGTTTTTCCTGCTCCGCTGTCCGGCTGAGGAGTTCACTGATTTCCCGCGTACGATTCGTTCAAAACTTCCGGTGCACTGGGAGGAGTTGATTGGACGAACATGCGGAAAAGGCGGTGCTTAGCGGTGACGCTTTATCCAGCGCTGGATGTTTAAAGTTAAGCAGATTGTACTTTGAGGTCCCCTCAACATTTATTTATTTCTTATTTAAATGAAATGTTTGTGCTCATATTGTAAGTGGATGTTGTAATCTCCGTCGTTCGAAATAAATATGAATGAATGAATATTGAATAGAAATATTTGACACTTTACTTGTAGTTTCCCCCAGCATTAAAATATATTCTTTATTTTTTACATTGATGCCGCTGTAATCTCTTTCATGAGTGATATGAAATGAGTTTAACATTTATTTTAACATTTTCAAATACTTTCTTTTCTTTTGTTATCCCCCTGCATTAAAATATATTCTTTAGCACTTAGTTTTTTCTTTCTTGCTTGTATTTTTAATTTTTTTGTACTCATTTTGTACATGTTGTTGTAATCCCCGTCTTCAATAATAAAAGTTTCGTATTTTTTATTTTACTTTTTGTTAGCCCCTAGCATTAAAATGTATTGCTTGTTATTTTGTTTTAGTATTTTTATTTCTGAACTCATTTTCTACATTTCTGTTCTCAATTCTGTCGTAAATAACAAAAAGTACAAGTTTAAAACAAAATTTAATTTTATGTTTTGTTAGCCCCACTATCAAAATATATTTGTATTTTGCCCTCCTTTTAGTATATTGATGTTGTAATTGCTGTAATAATAAAAAAAAAATTAAATTGAGTATTTTTATTTTTAATATACTGCTTTCTTGGTATGGTTGTCATTTCTGTCATGAGTCACAAACATTTGTACACAAGTTCAAAATGCTGTACCATTTGTAAACAAAATACCCGCACAATCTCGAATTTGTGTTTTCAAAATGAAACAAAACAATTCTGAAAGAAAGAACGATGTCTCTGCAGGTTAAACAGTCAAATAGTTTTCTCTTGTGGACGCCACGCTCAAGAGGGCTGTTCATGATAACTGTGGCAGTTGAACTACAGTTTGTATCAGTCAGAAACACACTGAAAGGATCATTGTCATTGCCAAATCTAATGTATAAAGCATGTTTCAAATAATGATAATGTATCACAGAGTACAGAAAAGCAATATATATTTGACAGAATAAATATAAAACATGATTTAGTGCAAATCAAAGAGAAACAATTAAGAAATAAAATTCAGGGTCTGATCAGAACCACAACAGGATTTTTTTTGTATATTGTTTGGAAAAGCTGGATATAAATGGATATAAATTACAAAGGAAAAGGAAGTGGATTAAGCAGAGGAAAAAGGTGAAGTAAAAGGTATAGAAGATGAAAAGTAAGACGAAGAAGGAAAAAAAGAGGATGAAGAGGAAACGGGTGAAGAAGTAGGTGAAGAAGAAAAAGAAGGTGCAGAGGTAGAGGAAGGAGAAGAAGAAGAGGAAGTGGCTAAAGAATAAGTATGAGCAGAAAAAGAAGAAAAAGGTGAAGAAGAATAATAAGAGGAAGAGGAACTATGATTAAAATAGCATTTTTCACGGTATCCAATTCTGCTTTACAGAGTTAAAACCTCATACATGTCAACATAACTGTTATAAAAAATCGAAAATGGTGGACAGTGGTGGATCTATGCAGCAGAGTAATAATATAAAAGCAGCTTGTAGCTGGATTTAATGGACATCAATATAAAATCTGTTAACATACATTCAACTATATACAATTTAATATAAAGGCATAATACAACTCTAGAGTAGGCCAGGATTTACTTAATCCCATTGTTCCTCTTCTTTGACAGAATCTCTCTCAGACAGATACTGTTCGAGGATTTCATCGATTACATTGCACTGAAAGTTCACTTGGTCGAGGGAGAGAGCAGGAATATGGGTGATGAGAAGGCGCCCGACATTCTGCCGAAGCTCGATCAAACTGTAAGAGAGAGATGGAAACAAATTAAGAGAGAAACTCAGATACATTCTTCTGCTGTGTTGTCTAAAATGACTTTGTAAAGCTGCTTTCAGACTGAACTCCAGATAATCTCCTGACTTTTGCCAGAGGAGCTGTATGTGAGAGTGCAAGGGTTGACTGGTGTCGATGTGCTGAAAACAAAAATAAATATACTCTGCAACGGAATTTTGTAGTTACGCTCTTTCTCTGCCTGTTGCGCTACCCCTCACCTATATGCTACGGAAATTCCTGTGTGTTTGTGAATGCTTCTGAGCGGAGAATCTCCTGCTGCATTGTTCATGCATGGAAGACCAGCTCCAGAGAAAGTCCGGACTATATTGTGCCGACATCCTCCAGAGTTCATGTCTGAAAACAACTTTGAGTTGAAACTTCTCTGATAATTCACACAACATCTAAGAGAAGTGATTTTACAAAAGTCCAACCTTCTGAATGTGTCTGAGCTTGAATCTCCACCAGTGACAGTTGCCTCCGCTGCCTCCGCTGCCTCCGCTGCATCGGTTCGTGCAGAAGAATCCGTGAATCTTTGCGGCGGCTTTGTGCTTCCCTCTTCAGCGTTTCCCCTCTGCTGCTGCAGCTTCAACCTGAGCTCTTCACACTGGGCTGCCAGGTTCGCATTTTCCTCCTGCACACTGTCCATCTAGTGGCACAACACACAGTGAACCCCAAGAGGAAGAAAAAATCTCAATATCATTATGATCATGCTTGATCGAATTATGAATTATACGTATTTTACAAACGTAAAATAAAAAGTTGTAAAATGTTTTCCAAGGTCAGATATAAAGGTCAAGACTTAGAGCGTTCTTATTTTTCTGACGTCAAGGAGCATTTTCTGTTTGTAAATATAAAGGAAATGCAACATAGAGGTACATGTAAACGTATTGAACCTTTAAGCTCCAGACACACTGACCTGTGAGTGCAGTTTTTCGTTCTCCTTGTGTTTCTGGTCCAGTTCCCGCATCAGAAAGTCAACTTGCAGCGCAATCTCGTCAGAGTCCTTTTCCTTATCTTGACCAGGACTGGGTTTGCTCTCAGTAGCTGCCACTAAAGCCTCTTTGTCCTTGATCAATTCATCAACTTTCTGTTTTGCCTTCTCAAACATACTTTTGTAGTCAAACCCCTCCACTGTTTCCTCCGTCTTCACCGTCTGGCTGGCCTGGTGAGAGCATCGTCTCTTTTCATTCATCTCAGACGGCTCTGGCAGTCTCCTTTGCATTTGCATTTCCTGCAGCTGGCAGGTAAGTCTATTGACCTCTTCTTTTAAGGAGTCTCTCTCTTTCGCTGTATCCTGTATGAGCTCCAGGAGCTGGTCTTGTTGTCCCTGCACCTCAGTGACACTTGGGTTGTAAAGTGGGGAGAACGGTGCACAGGAAGGTCCTGCAATTTTGTCACCTTCCAGAGGACGTGTCACTACATTCTGAAGATTTTCTTCATGGTCATTTTGAGTATTTACCTCGCTCTCTTGCTTTATGTCTCTTTCTTCAGTGCTGCAGGCACATGAAACCTGTTCTACACCATTCACATTAGATGCACTCTGTCCTGTTATTCCATTCCCCTCAGTTTGATTTGGATCCTCCTCTTCCATCTTTACTTGGGGTGCTTCTGTCTGGGTGGTGATGCTGGTCAGCTGTGGAGGAGGGATCGGGGAGGGATTGGCTCCAACAGCCGCAGACCCTGTAGAGCTTATTCCCGCAGTGTTTGTCTCCGACTCCACAGCGGCGTCATCGCTACACTCCAACATCTTGCAGACACCGGCATCAGTTGGCTCTGGCTCTATCTTCACTTTATTCAAAGCAAAGCACAGACTTTTTGGTTTGGGCGTGCTGACATCCTCCACGATGAAAATGTCATCATCAGTATCATCCTCATTATCATCCTCTCCAACAGGCACTGATGGGGAGCAGGGTGCGCTCACATCCGCAGATGTCGGAGTATCTGAGATGCTCCTCTGGAAGTCATTTGCTAGATATCTTTTGGGCGTTGTTTGAGGACTAACAGACCGTTCTCTTTTTCTCCTGCAGTGAAGCCAATGCACTGTTAATATACTTCTTAAAGTGAATTTCATATATTTGATCTCACAAACAACACAAAATCATACCTCAGACGGGATACTGACAAAGAGACCACATTGGAAATAACTGGAAGCCCATCGCTACGCGAGGGGCTGACATCTAAAGGAAGAAAAAACATATATATGAATATTTAAATCTCAAAAATTCTCTCTTTCACCCGCGAACAAACAGTTAGTCTTCTTACCAGCTTGTAAAATACTGGAGGGTTTCAGTGGAGTTGAATCAGCATTGAACCTACTCTTTGGGGTATTGGGGGTGGAAGGTGAACGGACAGTCTGTCAAGAAAAACAAATAAGAATTTTTTTACATTTGTAATAGATATTCCTAAATCATACCCACCCTTAAGTATTGACTGTGAGTATTTAACTATCCATCTATCCTGCATCAGTAAAGGGAGCTGGAGCCTATCCCAGCTGACATTAGGTGAGAGGTGGGGGAAAACCCTGGATAGGTTGCAGGCGTATTGCATAGCCAACATGCAAAGTCAACCAATTAGCAATTTAGAGCCTCTACATGTCTTTGGATTGTGAGAGGAAGCAAACCCACACGGACACGGTGACATGCAAAGTCCACACAGAAAAACCTCGGCTGAACTGGGAACCTTGCTGTAAGGCAACATTTCATCACCGCCGAGCTGCCCCAAAATCTTTAAATCAAAATTAAACAATTTTAGTCATAATTTCCCTTTGTGTGTTTTTAATGGACAGCCCACCGTTGGACACAGTTGCCGTTTCAGGTCTTCGTGCCGCTGTCTAAGATCCCGGTTTTGTTTGGCGAGATTAGCAACTCGCTGCACTTCCTGTTGCCTTCGATTCTCCTCCTCCTACATGAACAAATTCCCAAAAGCACAATTAATGTCTTACCTTGTATGGAATCACAAATCAATACCACCAGTAGATTAATTTTTAATTTCAGATCGCGCTGAGACATTTCAGGGATCATGCAGGGAGAAAAATTATGACAGACGATGCATTCATTACCTTTTTTTTACTCATCTCTTGCTGCTTTTTGTCCTTTTTTTCTCTTAAAAATAAATCACAGAGTAAGAGCACACAAATAACACAATATGCAATTCTTATGTTGGGCAGAAGGCATGGCAGAGCTGGAATGGAAATTTGCGACTCACTGTTGTTTGTAGGTCTTACGGTACGAAGGTTGGTCATCATCTGAGTCCTCTGGCTCCTCCTCTACCTGGCAGCTCCTGGGAGAAAAAAATAGATTGAGAGTGAAAACATCAGCAAATATCCTAGGGAATTCTACTTCAACTTTTTTTTTCCGAATACATGTACCAAAAGCTTGGTGAGCATTCCTGTGTATGCATGATAAATTACATTATTATTGCAACAGGTTTATTAGGTTACCTGAACTGAGGGTCAGGGTTCATATGACAGAACCATTTATCTGGTAACTTGCTGTTGTCAATCCCATCGGGGAGTTTGCGCCACCTGCGACAGTCATCACATTGCACCCAGAGTTGATCTGGTTTCTTTCTGAGGACACAGACAAATAAAATAAAAATCTGTATGGAGACAGCAGAGTAAAATGCATGTTGAATACCAACTGAACGGTCACTGCACATGTACTAACATGGTATCCTCCACTGGTGTGGTGCTGTTTGGATTATCTTTGTTCCTAATGTAATGGATTTGTTTCCAGTACTCTTCCAGTTTAGTCGCCATGTTGTTCATAGTTTTCCTGTACCAAGACATAAAGCACCTTAGACTTCCATATTTCTGGCCCAGTACTGTAATCAATAATTCAATGATCAAGATATAAATACCAATCAAATCAAAATGATCAGAATAGAATTACCTGTATTTATCTGTCTCATCAAAGCTCTGTTTATTGTGGGTGGGATTGAGAAAGTTGCACTCTACTACGCCAATGACCCCAACACCTTGGTTGTTGCCCTGTAGATGGAAAACACTCATGAGAGATGAAAAGCAGATGATAACATTTATGACTCCTTGAAAACGTGCAGTCAACAGCAGAAACTCACCCTCATTTGGCAGCCCACGCGTTTGTAAGGTTTGATGAGGCGATTCTTGTGATACATCATCATGCCATACTGCTCTTTACTTTTGGTGTTATACCCAAAAATGATAGGAATGCGTTTGGTCTGAAATAAAACTTAAGGAATACTAAAGAGCAGAGATATAAACATGCATGCAACCATTTGTCCCTAAACATTTATAAATGTTCAACACCTATCAGAAGCTAAGAGTAAAGAGACTGAAAGGATACCAGGAATGTTGGTTTGTAGTAGTCCTTTCTGACGAGGGCAAGACTCTTAGCAATGAGCTGAGATTTCACCTTCTGACCTCGTATGTTGATCTGCATCCGAGGCTTCAGGTACAAAATACTGCAATATGCCTGCACACGTTAACAAAAGAAGTACATATTGATGTTTATAAGTGAAAGTCAAGTTGAGAGGTATATCACAGGGATCATAGAAAATGAAATGCATTTAATAAAACATGTTATTACCAGTCTGCAGTTGTATACCTCTGCCAACCATTTGATTTGTGTGGGGCATAAAAAACAATGGAGAAGATTACTGCTCCTTACCCGCAGAGAGTTAACACTCTCAGGGACGTATGATGACGATTGATGTTGAGCTGTGTCGCTCACCGACTCATAGGCATCAGGTGGAATTCGGATATCGTACCGGTCACTCTCAAAATCAAACTCATGTGCTCCAGTAGATGTCCTTAAATAAGAGAAGCATATTGATGTCTATCAATCCATCCATTATCCATACCACTTATCGTTTTAAGGCGGTGGTCACCAACCTTATAAATCACAAGATCACTTTTTAACTCCAAACGTAAGCCGAGATCTACCACCCCGATATCTTGTGAAAAACCCACTTAGGAGGGTCACATTTTTTTATGCATTATAACCAGCAGCTCCGCCAGCAGTAGCAGACACACTGCCGCATGAACAGACAACCGACACACGGAGGTTGACGGTGAAGACTGTCGAGATCGACCGGGTTGGCGACCACTGTTTTAAGGGGTTTCTGGGGGAGCTGGATCCAATCCCAGTTGGAATTGGGCGAGAACCCTAGACAGGTCGCCAGTGTATCACATGGCCATCCCGAGAGAAACAAACACTCACATTTACACCACAGGTCAATAAGTCTCTAATTAACCTAAACTGAATGTCTTTGGAGTTCCCAGAGAAAACCTATGCAGGCATGAGGAGACCAGGCCACTAACACAAATCTGAGGTTCTGAGTGAAGCAATAGCACAACAGTGTAAAGTACCCACTACAAATCAAAGCAAACAAATAAACATCTAAAAAAATGATGTATATTATAGACAGACGTGCGGAGATTCCAGATGATAATCCGTGTGCCTGTTTTCCCCGTGGACCAGGGGGGACTGATGGCTTTGAGCTCGTCGAGAAGGTCCTCCTGTTTTTTGAAAGGGGAATAGCGCAGGATGTCCTGCAGACTGACTTTGTCCTCCTCTCGTACTGAGAGTGAAATCTCAAGTTAAGGATGATTTGAAGTAGATGATTGGTACAAACAGAAGCATGATTGATGTTTGATTGAAAGAAATAAACTACACTATAACATGTCAAAATATCCAGTTACAGTTGTCCTGTACCCAATTCACTTGAGTATGTTGCTTTGATGATGCCAATGAATCAAGAAGATATTGACATTTTATTTCTTCAAAGGATATACTTGGTAGTTTTTGTGTGTGCGAAGCTGATGATTGGTACAATTATTTGCTTGGCATCGATCTCTTCCAGGTAGGTCTGAGAGAGCATCCCGACGCATGAAGTGTTCTTTGACTTGGAAAAAACGATGGCGTCTCTGCCAAGATGCATGGATCCAGACTTGAACCCGTTGCCATAGATACCTATTGGCGCCACACCATTCACAACGGACTTATCGCTGTACCCAAAGCTTAAGGGAGAAAAAAGTAAACATTCGTTTAGTAATTAATCACATTCATAATGAAAATTTGGACTTTTCAAATAAAAATATTCATAATTTGTGGTTAAAGTTTTTAGGCTGTGGTTAATTACATGTATGACAATACTGGCGTTGTAATGTGACCAACAAGATCAACCATTACAAAACAAATACCAACATTTAAATGACAGGGGTCTTCAAACGTATAATCTGACATTTCTCCATTTACAAAAAAGTTGAAGTGTCATGAACAGTCAAAATTATGTTTCAATAATTTGTCTGAGTCTGTACCTGAGCATCTTATGCATAGTTTCATGGTCCAGTCCGTTTCCATTATCCATAAAGCTGAGGCACTCTTGTTTTTCAATCACAGTCTTATCAATCCAGAACTGTTTGGCATTGACATCTGGATCATAGGCATTGTCTGTGAGAAGGAACATTATTAGGAGCATTTAACTCAAAAGAAATAGATGACAACTGGATAAAAACTGAACCAAATCCCTCCATGAATATATGAACACACACACACACACACACACAC